CATATCTCTTCAATATTGTACTTGAAGTTCTGGCTATAGCAATAAGACAAGAAAAGGGGATCAAAGGGATACAAATTGGAAAAGAAAAAGTCAAACTTTCACTATTTGCAGATGACATGATAGTCTACATTAGTGACCCGAAAAACTCTACCAGGGAACTCCTGCAGCTGATAAACACCTTCAGCAAGGTAGCAGGATACAAAATTAACTCAAAAAAATCAGTAGCCCTACTATATACAGATGATAAATCCAATGAGAAAGAAATCAGGGAAACATCACCTTTCACAATATCCACAAACAACATAAAATATCTTGGGGTAACACTAACCAAAAAAGTGAAAGACCTGTACAATAAGAACTTTGAGACTTTAAAGAAAGAAATTAAAGAAGATACCAGAAAATGGAAAGATCTCCCATGCTCTTGGATAGGTAGAAATAACATAGTAAAAATGGCAATCCTGCCAAAAGCAATCTACACCTTCTTTGTTGGTAGCATGAGTTCTTTGGTACACATTGAATGCATGAATGCACATAGCATGAGAGAGAAGAAAATCCTAAATGGTAAACTGTATTGTTCAGTGAGGGTGACTCCAATCTGGCTTTTAGTCCTTTTACAACTGGGAGAAATTGGACAGTACCCCTAGCCCTATGAGGAAGATCTTGCCTGGGACACTGGGCCCACTTCTTTGTTTCCTCCTGCCAGGCTTGATACAGCAACTTGGAATAATGCTCAACATCAAGTCCCTGGAGAACAGAAGCCACAAGTAGCCCGCCCCCTCTTGTCACTAGATCAGTGTTAGTGCCGTGGCCACAGCCTTCCTGATCCTGAGCTATTTCTTTAAAAGTAAAGTAGACTATGTGAATGTAGCTTTTCGGACATTTCTAAGAGAGTAATCTCACAGCACACACCCTGTTCCTCCGACTCTTACAGTCTTTCCAACCCTTCTCCTTAAATGTTCTCTGAGCCCTAGGTGCAGAATTGTGTGGTAGACTGAGCCTCCAGAAATGGGAGAGGACTGGAATACTTTTATTCTTGGTTTTAATGGTTTGGAATTGAAGATATCAGAAAGCCAGACACCAGGCATCTCTCTAACTATACCACTACTGAAAGCACCAAAGAAGGTTAACAGCAATCATATAGTCCAGTCCTTCAGACCCCGTGCACATGTCAGTGACCAGAACCCTGAGCCTGGATCCCCTCAAAGCTCTGTGAAAGGTACTTTTGCATCATCACTAACCTTTACCATCCTGAGACATTAGATTGGACTTTCAGTGAGGGAAGTTCATCAGAAGATAAAACATCACTATTACACCACCTTCTGCCCAGAGCATCAATGACTGTGCCCTCCACTATCATTGTGAATAGGTAGTGTGTGGTGATATTTTATTTATGATTTAACAAATGAAGCTTGCCTGAAGATCAGATTGCAAAGCTAGCCACACTAGGGGCCAGGCAGTGGTGGCACACACCTTTAATCCCAACAACCACACTAGTTAGCCATAGAGGCCAGGACAAACCTTTAGTCCCAGCACTCTGGAGGCAGAGGCAGGCGGATCTCTGTGAGTTCAAGGCCAGCCTGACCTACAAAGCTACAGAGCGAAACACTGTCTTGGAAAAAAAAAAACATTTAATTGGGGGACTTCCTTACAGTTTAAGAGGGTTAGTCCATGATCATCATTTTAGAGAACATGAGGGACAGGCAAGCAGGGCACTGGAGCAGTAGCTGAAATCTTACATCTTATTGAAATGATGGAGGCAGAGAGAGCAAAAGGCAGGGCTTGGCATGGGCTTTGAAACCTCAAAGCTCCCAGTGATATACTTCCTCCAAGACCACACCTCCCAATCCTTCTTAAACAATGCAGCAACTGGGAACCAAGCATTCAAATATATGAGCCTATGAAGGACATTCTCATCCAAACCACCAAGATGTGACAGAAAAAAAGGAAGGAGGGGGAGAGACAGAGGGAGGGAGAGAAGGAGGGAAGGAGGGAAGAAGGGAGGGAGAGAAGGAGGGAAGGAGGGAAGGAGGGAAGGAGGAAGTTTGGTTTGGTATGATAGTACTAAAAGGGTTTCTTTCTATTTTTAGAAAATGAGCTAAATTTTCATTTTTTTATCTTCACATTTATTTTTGTACATATCTTCAGAATACATCATCAGAAGGAAAATAGCAGAAACTGTGGAAATAAAGTGATTATAGGATGGATTCTGGTTAGTTTGTTTGTCTACCCAACACAACACCTGAAACAGTCAATGCAGAATAAAGGGTTAAAGAAATTATATAACAGAAAAGTGCCGACTGCTTAGGAAATAATAGCAAGAACTGAGAAACATTACTGCATACAGTTAAGAAGTTTCTGCACAGCAAAGGAAACAACAGAGTGATGATACAGACTATTGATTGGGAGAAAATCTTTGCCCATCATGTCTGTCAGAGGATTAATATCCAGAATAAATATAATCAAAACAATCAATTACCAGAAAAGCAAAATAAGTCAATCAATAAGTGAACAAACAAGTTAAACAGAGTTCTTGAAAGGAGTACATAAGGGAAATGCAAATCAAAACTACACTGAGAGTCTATTTCCTTATGTTTGTTGGTTTCTTTTTTGTTTGCTTGTTTTTACATCCCAACCAAAGTTTCCCCTTCCTCCCTTCTTCGCAGTTCCTCCCCCATCCCCACCTTCTCCACTCCTCCCCCACTGTTTCCCTTCAGATACAGGCTGGACTTCTATGGATATCAGCTGTGAGACTAGGCTCCTCCTCTTCTATTAAGGCTGGTGAAGCAATCCAGTAGGAGAGGGTCCCAAAAGCAGGCAACAGAGTCAGAGACAGCCCCTTCTCAAATTGTTAGGAGTCCCCTAGGAGGACCACATTACACACTATAACACATATGCAGAGGACCTAGGTCAGTCCTATGCAAGCTCCCTGGTGGTCAGTTCAGACTCCGTGAGCTCCTATGAGCCCAGGTTAGTTGGTTCTGTGGCTTTTCTTGTGGTGTCCTTGACCTCTCTGGCTCCTACAATCTTCTTTGACAGGATTCCCCATGCACAACCTAATGCTTGGTTGGGGGTCTGAATCTGTTTCCCTCTATTCCTGGGCTGCTATTGTCATCTCCAAGGGGATAAAAGACAGTTTCTCCTAGAGTCACATAAGAATGACCATAGCCCAAGAACACAGATGTGAGTTACCTCAAATCCCAAGTTCCAATGTGGCAACAATTATATAACCTTTTATAGTAACATAACAAAGAAAACCATATTCAAAACACTTTCCATCAGGTAGGCAGGTTACTCAAAAGCAGGGAAACTTCAACTCTAGGCCTCCTCCGATGAGCTCTTGACTGTATTCATAGATTTCTGGGTAGGAATCAAGAGCCTGTTTGTAGATTCCAAAGGATTTACTTATTATGCTCACAAAGATGTTAGGTCACATGCAGAGTTGGGTAATAAACTGCTATTAAATTGGCTGAAGATGGCCAATGATAATTTGGCTCTGATAATTTTGCAAGATTACAGGTTTTGTGGTCACAGCTTCTTTCCATACCATTCACTAGACAAAGCCATGAGCAAAGACAATGCAATAAATAAAAAGCTCTGTTTAGAGACACTAGACACCATCCAAAAAAAGAAAGAAAATCACATTTCATTTTCTGATTCTTCTTGCTGTTCAGGATTTTTCAGAAGTTGAGTTTCTGAGTTGCAGAGCTTGCTAAGTCTCCACTTAACCAACCTGTATAAAAAGAAAATTATCTCTGGTTAGATGAAATCTAAAATTAAACCTTAAGGCAATGTAAATCTACAGTAAAACAAACTGCCAATTAGTTGTATAACTGGGGATACAACCCTAAAACGAAAATAACTTTTGTTTAGCTTCGAGCTGTTGAAAAGTTATGTAGATTAAAGTAAGGTATAAGTAAACAGATAAAATATGGGCTTTCAAATTTATCACATCAAAACATAATTTTGATTATTTCCAAACAAACAGGAGAATCTATATAACCTGTGCCAAATGAATCTGACATCAGTGGAGTTTCCACATTAAGATGACAACAACTTGTACATTGTGAGAAGATAGATGGCTTTTTCTCCAAAGAATATACACAGATCCATTTCCTTCCATATAGCTGTTATCCCAAATTAATTTAAATCCCACAGCAAGGCTGGGCTGAATTTCAGCTCTTCCTTGTGAATTCAAAAATATGTGACACCCATACACACAATAAACTTAGAAGTTCAGAAAGGTGGCAAGCTCCTTCCTAGTAGATGGCCAGTCCTAGAATCCATGGGCACATGAACCAATAATTAGACTTAATGGGTGATTATTTTTAAGAAGAGGATGTGGAGTTGGGTGAGGGATGTTTCTGAAGAGGTTTTGGAAGAATTAGAGGTGGAAAAATGGCAGTAACTATAACCAGATGCATTATATATACATATAAGATTCTCAAAGAAAAATCTGTTTTTAAAGTACACAGAGTACCCTCCAACCTATGCCTCTTTTAGTACAAACTCAGGTGGAGGATTGGAGGAAGTGATTAAAATTACCAACTCTAGAAGGTCTAAAGTTGGGTAAGCTCTCTACTTCTGTGATGTGATGAGAAATATTTATGTGAACCATGTAGTTTTTTTTCCTATATACTATTACCAAAGGGCATTGTATACTGTAGCCACATAAGTAGAACATAATTTCTATAACTTATGAGATGTATACAAGCAAATTTGGTAAATGAAATTACCAAAATAGTTCTCACTTTATGAGAAACTAACTTCTCTACCACCTACATCTTGATCCATCTTCTGATGATGTTTGGGCCTGTTCCAAACAGATTCCTCAAAGGAAGACAGACATGGGAAAGAGGCTTTAGTGGATGGACATACTTTTCATTTAAACATTTAAGATGGAAGACTTCCTGTTTCTGCTCCCTCTCCAAGACAAAGACTATTGGGCCTTTTTCCACCAGAGGGAACTGTTCTGGAGGACTTTCAAATCCCCCACCCGGGAAGCACAAGTGAATGTGCTTCCCGATAATGCATGACTCAGAGACACATCACAAAGAGCTATTCCAAGTTTGAATTATCGTTTACTGTTTTTCTGGCAATTTCTGTGTTTCCAGACAACTTTCTCCTATACTACTTTGTCTTATGGGACAGTAATAGAAGAAATTAGTTCATGGAAAGGATTTGAACTTTAAGATTAATTCAGTTGAGTCCTGATGGCCATATATCTGATGAATGAAAGTTATTAACTTACCAAGTAATAAGAGCATAATTAATTCCAATGATGACATAGGTCAATGCATAATAAAAACTAAAGCATGAGACGAGAAACATAACGTTGCTGTGATCAGACAGGTCCCACATATGGTCTCTATTTTGGGGATACAGGATAAAAGCAACCTGTGTTTCAAAAAAGAATGGCACATAAAATAACCAGACATATTATCAAAAACATTTATTCAAAGTACTTGATGACTAGCTGATTGCCAGTGTCAGAGATAGCACATATAAATCATCATATTTTCTACATATTTTGGTAACATAAACAATATTAATCTAATTGTCTTTCTAAATTATCTCAAAAGAGTATTAACCCTTAAACGTGCCTTCCGTACTAATCCCCTCACTAGTTCCAAAGCTTGGGGAACATCTCAGAAGAGGAAACAGAAGGATAAGAGCAAAGGGATAGGGAAGGATGCTGTGAAATGCTGTCTTTTGAATATGACATGGCCGTCAAACTCATAAACTCACAAAAGATGGGGTTCTTTGTTCAAAACCAGCCACAGAATCAAGCCAAGTGAAGTTCTGGTGTAGAAGGGAGAAGTGCTCTCTCTCCCGGCCCTAACAATTACCAAGGAGCTATTGAGAGTTGATAGCTGTTGAGAAGCATCATTCTCTTTAGAGGATGCGGCCCCTGGTAGATTCCCCATGTGGCAGTGGATGAACCCATGCCTGTGCATATATGGGAAGGACTGATTTGACTGCAAAAAAGAGAAGATGTGAAGTTGGGAGAGAGATGGGCTGGGGAGGGATTCGGGGACTAAGGGAGATGAAATGGGATAGTGACATGAATATATGATAAATTATATGATCATAATTCATTGTGTACGTGAATGAAATTCTCATGAATGAAGAAAGTTGTTTTATATGCAAATCGCCAATAAACAAATAGAAGCTCAACAGCACCATTGGAGAAGGTTAAATCAATATAGCAGTGGGGTATCACTGGCTTCTCACTAGAAGGGCGACCACAATAGTTAACAAAAACTAGCGACTATTGGTGAGAATGCAAAGGAACTGGAATCCTTAAGCTTGTAAAATGAAACCATTACAATGAAAAAGGTTGACAGTTTCTCAGAAAGGAAAATTTTGAATTGCCATATGACCTAGTATTCTACTACTATAAATGCCTCCCAAGTATTCAAAAAACAATCTGTTCATTAATGTTCATAGAAGTATTATGACTATCCAAACATGAAAAAGAAATGAAATATTAATATATGTGATAACATGGATTAAACTTGAAGATATTACACAGGATGAAAATGATCAGAAACAATGTGGCATGTATTGTCCTATTGTCTTTTATATAAAATATTCATAACAGGTGGGGCTAGAAAACAAGTTAGTAGTTGGCTGAGCCTAGGAACAGAGACAAAGGAAAATATGCTAGTTTTTTTTTTGTGGGGGGGGGGGGGGGGGATGTTTGGGAGATCATTAGAGGTAGATTAATACTTCTAATGGTACTGATGACATTATGAATGGAGTAAGTGCTGCTAAATTTTATTCTGTAAAGTTGGGTGTTATCCTAGGCCCTATCCCAATGGATATGATAGACTCTGATGACACCTTATGGAAGGCCTCACCATCCAGGGGGAGCAGAAAGGATATGTGATGGGTAGGGTTTTAGTTGGAGGGGGGTGATAGGGGAGGATGGGAGGGAGAAGGGAACTGGGATTTTCATGTGAAACAATCTTGTTTCTAATTCAAATTAAAAAATCTGCAAAAAAAGTTGTGTGTTATATGAACTTTATCCAACAAAATGATAGATGATAGATTGATTGATTAATTTCAGGTCTCTAGAGTAAAATGAAATATAGAATTGGATAATATCATGGATAATTACACAAATGATATGGTAAGTTGGCCATGTATCCACTGCAGAATCTCCATGTTCCTTCCAGTGGTTCTTTTCAGAATTCATTATCACCTTTAATCTGTTGTCTTTATTTTCCAAATAATAAAATTTTCAGGAAAAAATTATGCACTTAGGCTATATTGAGTAAATCCTTAATTTTATTTCTTTCTTAAATTTCAAATAGTTTAGGTTAGTCAGTGGGAACTAAGATTATTTTTCTTTTAATTTAGTCAGTTGTCCCCATGTGTACATTCTCTATGGTTGGAATGAGAACTACAACTTTCATTATGTCATATATATATATGATATATATATCATATATATATATATATATATGATATATATATGGTATATGCCATGTGCTAGGCAGTTTATTTTCATTTATGCATGAGCTCTTTGCAATAATCTTTAGTCTTAAAAAATAACTTCAATAAGGATGTTTCATTATCCCTCCTACTATACAGGAAGTCTGGAATTCAGAAACTTCAATAATTTTGACAATGATCAAAAACTTCTGAATGAACCAGGCAGTATTCCTAAGTATTCTGGAGTGCCTGACTCTGTCTTCTACTGCACACTGTCTATCAACATCCATTAATTAGCAGAGAATTGCCTAATTCCATGATTGTATGAGCCTTGCAAAATAAATTTTTCTTCTTGTGTCTTCCTATTGATAAGTTAGAGATGGTAATACTTGACTGTTACATTATCATAAACAGAATTAAATACAATGTTCATAAAAATCCAATAAAAGGTAGACATGGGGACAATTTTCTGGATAGATTTCACTTATGAAAATTAAATCAAACTTCCTGCACCCTCATGCTGGGAAACCAGCATGGAACTGATTCAGACCCCATGAACATGGGTGTCAGTGAGGAGACCTTGGAAATCTATGGGGCCTTTTGTGGTAGATCAGTACTTATCTCTAGCATAGGAATAGACGTTGGGAGCCCATCCCACATGGAGGGATACTCCCTGAGCCAAGACACACAGGGGTGTGCCTAGGCCCTGTCCCAAAGGATATGACAGACTCTGAAGACCCCCCCTATGGAAGGCCTCAGCCTCCCTGGGGAGCAGAACGGGTATGGGGTAGAAAGGGTATGGGGCAGGGGAGGAGAGGAGGGAGAATGAACTTGGCTTGACATGTAAAACAATCTTGTTTCTAATTCAAATTAAAAAATGGAGGGAAAAAAAAAGGTAGACCTGGAATATACCTATAATCACAACACTAGGGATGTTAAAGCCTTGAATTCTAGGATTCTGATTTCAATACCATCTTGAGATACCCAGTGAAATGCTAAAAAGAATTTTTTTTCAATAAAATGGCAAATATACACTTGTTTCTCAATATATTTCTCCATATGTTTCTGGAGCTATAAGCTCTTTTTATCACCAACTGATGATAACTAATATCATCAAGTTAGAGTTTCTACATGATGGAAAACCAGATATCTCATTACAGGTAGATTCTACTTCTTTCTCAGCCACTCTACCAGTGTTCCTACTAGGAACCCCAGGTCACCTAAAGACATAATCTCTTAAAACCCAACAGTTTCACTATAGGCAGCATGTCATAGGAAAGTCTCTGGATGCCATAAGAAACTACCTCATCAAATAAGAGAGGCTAACAACAGGTAGAAACAAAATAGAGCCAGCCAGAGGCTTCAACCTACCTGTAAGAACCACATCCCATGTAGCATGGTGAAGCTTGACCTCAGGAGCTTCAGAATTAGATTGCTCTTTGTGAGGGATTCTATGAAGGCAACCAGACCTGCCAAAAATATAGCGAAGCTCAACAGTTGATGCCCGAAAGTGTCCACCATTGTCCGGCCATATGTGTGATTGTAGAAAATGAAAGCTAATAGGGTAGAAAAAAAAAAGTTTGTTTTTTTAAAAAAAACCAAAGACAGCCAACTCGTCACTTCTTTTTCCTACTTCTTTCCTTCTCGAGCCACAGAACTTTATACACCTACCTATACAATTGATAGAAAGACTAGGTCCCCACTGAGTCTCACAGCAGTGCAACTTTGAGCCTTTTCAGCTATCACCACCTATTTAGAATGGAATCATTGAAATTTAACCCTCCTTTTGCTTCTCCAACCTTTATTTCCTCTTCTAATATGCAACTGTCAACTAGCTGTATTTAAAGGCATTAATATGCAGGCTAATGAATAATAAACATGACAGGGCAGGGAGCTACAATTCACATGAATATGCAGGTGATAAGCTGAAGCCAAAGCCTTGCCTTAAGGATTTCAGTGCCCTGAAAAAAGCAAATACACCTTCAGAGGTGTGACAGCATTATCGTCAAGAAGTGTCTAACTATGATATTTCATTACATAAACATATTCCAATTTCACCCTAATAGTTTTTATTAAGCTAAAAGAAGAGGATGTTCATTAAAGATAGGAGAACCAGGCTAATAGTTGTTACAATTATTTTTTTTTTCTTCTGGTCCTTGTCCTCAAAAACCGACAGGTAAAAACTACTTTCTTCACATAGGAGGAAAGGAACAGTTGCTTCCTAACCACTGGTAGCTTTCAGAGCTACATAATCTACTTTTTCACATGCATGATAAATGAAAAAAAACCCATTAAAGACCTTTTCCTCACCCACCTCAGTAATCTTGGGGAAACAAATTAATAAAACATTTGATTTATTTTTCATTAATTTCTCAAAATTAGGACTTCCACTTCTTTTTAAAAAAAACTTAAATTAGAAACAATCTTATTTTATATATCAATCGCAGTTCCCTCTCCCTCCCATCCTCCCCATGCCCCCCACCGAACCCCATCCCATCCGTCTTCTGCTCCATAGAAAGGGCGAGGCCTTCCATGGGAGATCATCAAAGTATGTCACACAATTTGGGGCAGGGCCTAGGCCCTCCCCCCATATGTCTAGGCTGAGAGTGCATCCGTCTATGGTGAATGAGCTCCCCGTAGGACTTCCACTTTTAATGTGGTTGAAATTTGCAGACTCAACTTCACACATACTGGCAAAGTTCTACTGTATCCGTACTTTAAAAGCTAGTTGGCAGGTGGCAGAACCTATTCTGCTGCTAACATCTAGCTATCCCAGTTGACAATTCATGCTTCCATTACTCTGGGTTTAAATATCCTTGCTAAAAGTATAAAGAAGATAAATGCTAAGACAACAAAGACAGGTAATTCTTCAGGACAGATGTGAAACATGAATAAATAACATTAGGTTGTGTCTGCCCAATCTTGCAGAATAAGTCAGTAGAGAAGAAAGATCCTTGGCATCCTACAGAGAATAGACAGGTATATCAGTATAGATAGCCCAGACACTTTGCCCTGCCACTCAGGACTGCACTAAGACAAAGATATTGTATTATACAGGGATACCCAGATGCTTACTATTAGAGAGAAGTGCAGATAAAAAGAAGAAAGAAAGAAAGAAAGAAAGAAAGAAAGAAAGAAAGAAAGAAAGAAAGAAAGAAAAAGAAAACCCTACTCCCCCTACTTACCATCCACAAAGAAGGCATTTGATAACATTAACTTGACCAAAGAGACTGGAAGTGAACTTATGGTGAAACATAAGATCTTGGTCACACCTAGCATTGCAAAGAAGACATATATAGCAAGATGATGCCAGTGCAGGACAAGGACAAACTGGGATTCTTTATCTGGGAGCTGGTTTCTCTTTCCAAGCACAAGGTATAAACCAATTATTCCTGTAGAAAATCATACAACACTTTTAGTAACACTCTACATGATTTTGCCTAGCACACACATGAAAAAGATATGACCATTGCTTATTCCAATCTACTGGACCCTCTTTTTAGTTTATCTATTTTTTTAAATTTCATTTTACATTTCAAGCACAGTTCTCCCTCCTGCCCCTCCTCCTGGCTCCCCCCACCTCCATCCCAGCCCATCCCCCATACACTCCTCCCAAAGTGTAAGGGCTCCCATGGGGAGTCAACAAAGCCTGGCAAATTAAGTTGAGGAAGGACCAAGCCCCTTCCCCCTGTGTTAAGGCTGAGCATGGATTCACCCTAGGGAATGGGCTCCAACAAGCTAGCTCATGCACCAGGAATAGAACCAGGTTCTTCTGCCAGGGGCCCCTCAGATAGACCAAGCTTCACAACTGTCTACCACATACGGAAGGCCTAGTTCTGTTCTATAGAGGCTTCATGGCTGTCAGTCTAAAGTTCATGAATTCCCATCAGCTTGGTTCACCTGTCTCTGTAGATTTCTCTATCATGATCTTGACCTACTCTTACAATATTACTTCCTTTCTGGGCAGTGTCCTATCAGCTATGTAGTGATATTTTAGACTTTCTTAGAAGTTCAAATGCTAGTCGAGATAACCAATTTAAGCACAACCAATGCTGATGATTTTGATTCAACTGTCTATTCCAACATAATATCCAAGGTTTATGAGATTGTTCTATAGAGGCTGACTGTTCATTTCCTAGCTACCCTTTATCTAGCGGCTATCCAAAGGTCATATAAACCTGAAATACCATATTGCTAACAAATTATATCTTATGGAAATTGTGATCGAATATTTAATAAATATTTTTGAATAGGATATTCAGCTCTGGAATTCCTTGATTTTGTGAAAGAAAGAAAGCAAAAGAAAGAAAGAAAGAAAGAAAGAAAGAAAGAAAGAAAGAAAGAAAGGAAAGGGAGAGGAAACTTTTCTATGCATATAAAAACACCAAATTGAGAAAAATACAATACAGTAAGTCAACTCACCTACTGTTGACATGCCAACAAACACAATTCCCTCCAAAATTTCTACTCGAAAGAAGAATTCTTTGGTAAAAAGAAAGGAAGATCTCTTTTGTTGTTTACAAACATGCTTGAGAATATTCTTTATACTCCACCAAAGAGCTACAATAAAGAAAAGTACTCCAGGAAGAATATGACCTGGGAAATCCCCCAGGACCTACAAAGAAAAGAATATAAAAATGATAGGTATTTCATTTCTGGAGTATCACCAAATCATTTCTCATCCCCAAACAGTAGACTAGCTTCTGATGGTTATTAGCACATAGTAGATCATATTATAGTATCAAATATGCTGACAAAATTAAAATTCACTTTGACCCATGATAGTGCACACTATCAGAGATGTTTTTTTTATTTTTAAAACTATATTCATTTTTATTATAAATTATTTATTTGCAGTAGAACAAAGGAAATGCAGTGAGTAGCAAGTATTTTTAATTATGCTAAAATTAATGATTATGATCTTCTTGAAAGCATGATGACTTTTTTTCCAACTTCTTTTATATGATTTAGAAACAGGATTGTTTCACATGACAATCCCAGCTCCCCTCTTCCTCCCGTCCTCTACCTGCCCTCCCCAATTAAGGCCTTATCTGTCACATATCTTTCTGCTCCCCCTAGATGATGAGGCCTTCCATACGGTGTCATCAGAGGGTTTCGTTTCCTTTGGGTTAGGGCCTAGGCCCACCCCAGTAGTATTCCTCTATATGGACTGGGCTCCCAAAGTCCACACTAGGGATAAATACAGGGCTTCTACAGGAGGTCCCATAGATTTCTGAGGTTTCCTCACAGAAACCCAGGGGTCTGTTCCTGGGGTCTGGATCAGTCCCATGATGGTATTCCAGCTATCAGACTGGGGAGCAAGAGTTCCCAGATGTTCAGGTCAGCTGTTTCTGGTCTGGACCTCTGTGCTCTTCACTGGTCCTTCTCTGCATCTGGGTTCCAGTTCAGATCGGTGATTAGTTATGGGTGTCTGCTTCTACTTCCACCAGCTACTGGATGAAGGCAAATAAGTCAGTCATCAATCTCATCAATCTTCTCTCAGGGAAGGGCTTTTAAGGTAGCCTCTCCTCTGTTGCTGAGATAGTTAGCTGGTGTCATCTTTGTAGATCTCCAGACATTTCCCTAGTGCCTGATTTCTCTGTAAACCAAAAATGTCTCTCTATTATGATATCTCCATTCTTATTATAGTGTCTTCTTCCCCTGACTCATGCTTTCTGCTCCCTCATGTCCTCAGCATCCCTCTTCCTCTCCCCTTCTCATTCTCCTAGCTCCCACCCCTTCCCGTGCTCCCAATTTGCTCAGCAGATCTTGAACCTCTCCCCTTCTCCAGGGGACCATGTATGTCTCTCTCTTAAGGATCTCCTTGTTTATTAGCTTCTTTGGCAGTGTGGATTGTAGGCTGGTAATCCTTACTCTATGTCTAAAATCCGCATAAGAGTGAGTACATATCATGTTTGTCTTTTTGTGATTGAGTTACCC